ACCACAAAGGCTCCTGCCTCTCACCTTTGCTCTTTACGCTCTACACGAGCGATATACCTAAAGACCCCCACGTCAATCCCGCGCTTTTCGCGGATGACACGGCGTCTTTTATTCAGACCGCAACCTTAGACAACTAACCACTCGACTCCAAAGCGCTGCCGACCGCCTCGGCGATTGGTTCCGCAAATGGAGAATAGAAATAAATCACGAAAAGAGTGTGGCGATTCACTTCACACGAAGTACTTACCCGTCACATCTTTATAATGGCCCTCGTCAATGCAGAAAGTTGGGGCAAATATCCCTTTATGGCCAACCGCTCCCCTGGGAGAAAAAGGTCAAATACTTAGGAGTCACTTTCGACTCGCGTATGTCATTTACTACGCACATTAATAACGTTCGTAATAACAGCCAAACCACATACTTAAACGCACGCATGAGCACATGCGCGGCCCTACCCACAGCGGAGGGCCCAAACTCGTGGGTTCTGGCTAGCCCACCGGTTCTGCGTCAGATGAAGCTTTAATAGTCTCGGGACTGAAAGCAAAAACATCAGTTAATACAAGATACAAGAAGTGATAAAAAAATTGCGAAAACAGTAAAATGACGATTGCACCAAGTGTTTTATTGCCGGCTTCGGTGTGGTTATTGACCTTACTTTTACTGATGCCAGAATTCGTTGGTGAAAAGGTTTATATTTTGCAATATAAACGTGCATGTTAAGACGTACAAAATTCTTAAGGTGCTCAATTCAAAATTTTGGCCAAGGCTATTTTATGTACTAACTTTCAGATGCAAATGATTGAATTGCTTTTCTCATAAAAATAAAATTCGAGTGGTGTAAACTTATTTACAGAAATGAAGATATCACTTTAGTAACGTCATATCCTACGATATACGATACAGTAACAACGAGCTTCTCAGAACGTATGACACTTAAGATTTATAGCACGACATTTGCGTTGCATAGAATTAACCACGTTATCAACTGTTATCAGTTTATCTCAAACACGCTCAACCTGTATGACAAGATGTTAAACAATGTTGCGGTTAAAATTATTATATTTGAGCCGTTAACAGCCCTGACACGAATGACACCAGCCGACTATTCACGCAAATACGACAACCGTTTTACTAAATTCTAATATTCCACATTTTTATTAAATATCTTTGTTCTGCATTGCTCGTGTGTTGCAGTTTCGCAAATCATTTCGTTAGTGCTCGGAACCTTCGAAAGAGTTGCGCAAAACAACGCAAACTGATAAACGGCGATAGTGTCCTGGTGTGCTTCTCTTACCCAAAGATGTTTAGATTTATCACATTTTCTTATAATTTTTTATGATAATAACTAGTCAGGCCTCACTATTATAGATGATAGAGCCCCCTAGATTTCACCATATCGCCAACTTATTTTGCTAAACTACTACTTTACTAATACTTACTAGGTACTCACTTGTTCCAGGATAACATACTAATGTAAGGATCTATTCTTATTTAGATCTGATATAATTCCTATTCATGTAGTGTGACTATAGATGTTTTTCTTATAGGTGAAAGTAAGATTTTGCGTACCTAATCTTTTTCCGGTGTGATAAAAAAATTATGTCGTAGGTGTAGGAGTCTCCTCTTCGTAGTGCCAAGGACCTCCCATAAACTGAAAGCGCCTCAAATTGATGGGATGTTTTGTATATACAAATAATCCAGATCCGGAACAATTATTTGAAGGTCATACAAATAATAGTTAAAGCCGAACCAAATAGCTATTAATAACAACTACGCTTCCCGTGAAAGTTTTTAGAACTGGCCAGTCTTCGGTCAGCCGGTCAATGAAAACTTTTTTTAAATTTGAATATAGGTATAACTCTTTGGTAACGTAACGTGATAATTGCATTCATTTGTCATTTGTTTTTGTGAATTGGCGGCAGTTGCAAGTCTTATCATAAAAAAAATCGGTCAATCGTTTATTACGACTTTCGTTGTGGTATTACTGAACAACAAAGCTATGATAGACTTTGATTGGCATTTTATATTGAAGGGATCTTCAACGCAAAACTAGGAAAAAGGAAAAACGATGAGCTGAGAGTAGGTAGTTTTGGAATAGGGCAACGGAACCCAAGGGGGCAGCAGCTGGCTGACTTTATGGAGAAGGAGGGACTCTTTATGATGAACTCCTTCTTCAAAAAGCAGCCCCACAGAAAGTGGACCTGGACTAGCCCCGATGGTTCTGTAAAAAACGAGATAGACTTCATTATGACGAACAAACGGCAAATATTCAATGATGTCTCTGTGATCACAAGGGTTAAGACCGGCAGTGATCACCGATTGGTGAGAGGCACATTGAATATTAACATCAGGCTGGAAAGATCTCGTCTAATGAAGTCCACACTCCGACCATCTCGCGCCCATATCCAGAACTCCGAAAGCTTTCAGCTCGAGCTACATAATCGCTCCCAATGCCTAGAAAATTGCAGCACGGTGGACGATATTAACGCTAAGCTCGTGGAAACTGTCCATGCCGTGGGCCTTAAATTTTATAAGGCCCGCCGGACAAATAGAACCCAAAAAACTCTCCGATCAGACTCTTAACCTCTTGGGAAAAAGACGTGAGATGCGGCTGCAGTCTTTAACTGACATGTCAGACTACAGGCGGCTTAATAGGCAGATCTCCAAATACATGCGGCGAGACTTACGCAACTTCAATACAGCCCGTATTGAGGGAGCTATAGAGCGGAACCTAGGCTCAAAAGTCTTCGCCAGAGATCTGTCTATCGGACAAAGCCAACTGACTAAGTTTAAGACTGACAGCGGGACTATCATCTCTAGTAGACCAGAGGTTTTGAGTGAGATTGAGAGGTTCTATGGACAGCTGTACACATCGTCGTTGGAGCCATACACATGTATGAGTAACGACCCAAAGCAAAGCTTATCCGACACTATTCCGAGAATATCCCGGACGTCAGTCTGAGCGAGATTAGAATGGCTCTTGACCATCTTAAGAATTACAGCAGAGCTTCTGAAAGCGGGTGGAGAACCGGTACTTGTAGTCCTTCAGAGGCTCTTTAATTCCGTCCTTCAGGGTGGTGCTACGCCAGAGGCGTGGAGCAGAAGTGTGGTGGTGCTGTTCTTCAAGAAAGGCGATAACGCTCTCTTGAAGAACTATAGACCGATATCCCTTCTGAGCCGCGTCTATGTGCTGTTCTCAAGAGTCATCTTGAACCGTCTCGCTTCCAGACTCAACGACTTCCAGCCTCCCGAACAAGCCGGATTCCGAAAAGGCTTCAGTACCATAGACCACATACACACCTTGCGGCAGATTATACAGAAGACTGAAGAGCATAATCTGCCTTTGTGCCTAGCGTATGTGGACTATGGGAAAGCCTTCGATTCTGTCGAAATTTGGGCGGTACTCCAGGCTCTTCAGCGGTGCCAAATTGACTGTCGGTATATCGAAGTGCTGCGGTGTTTGTATAACAAGGCTACGATGTCCGTCCAAGTACAGTCCAGTAGTACAAAACCTATCCAACTGCAGAAGGGTGTAAGACAGGGTGATGTCATATCCCCGAAACTCTTCACCGCTGCGTTGGAAGATGTTTTCAAGCTTCTGGACTGGAAAGAACGAGGTATTAACATCAATGGCGAATACATCACCCACCTTCGATTTGCCGACGATATAGTCAACATGGCAGAATCGCTGGAGGACCTGGGTGCTATGCTCAATGACCTCAACAGTGTCTCCCAACGGGTGGGCCTTAAGATGAACATGGACAAGACGAAGATCATGTCTAATGTCCATGTCACGCCTATACCGGTTTTTATTGGGAGCACTGAGCTCAAAGTTGTTGACGAGTACGTTTACCTAGGACAGTTAGTCCGGCTAGGTAAGTCCAACTTCGACGCAGAGGTCAATCGGCGAATCCAACTCGGATGGGCAGCGTTCGGGAAACTTCGGCAAATCTTCTCGTCGAATATACCTCAATGTTTGAAGACTAAAGTCAATCAATGTGTGTTGCCAGTGATGACCTACGGAACCGAGACGTGGTCCTTCACTGCTGGCCGTATGAGGAAGCTCAAAGTCGCTCAGCGAGCTATAGAGCGGGCTGTGCTCGGTATTTCTCTGCGTTATAGAGTTCGTAACGCAGACATCCGCAGTAGAACTAAGGTGACCGACATAGCTCAGAGGATTAGCAAGCTGAAGTGGCGATGGGCCGGCCATATAGCTCGTAGAACCGATAACCGTTGGGGAAGAAAGGTTCTCGAGTGGCAGCCTCGTACTGGCCATCGCAGTGTAGGACGACCCCCCACTAGATGGAGTGACGACCTGTGCAAATGTGCGGGAAGTCGATGGATGCAGGTGGCTCAGGATCGTACTTCATGGCAGTCTATGGGGGAGGCCTATGTTCAGCAGTGGACTCAAACAGGCTGAAATGACGATTGAAGGGATGGGATCCCTTACCACTGTTTACAACTGGTTTATTGACTTAAAGCGTGCGCGTAGTAATCCCAGTCATCCGCGTGAGGAATGTTCTGCAGTAGCTAAATCTGATGGTAACATCAGCGCTGTGCGATGCATGATAGAGGGATAAAAGGGAATGACCTACCAGCAGATTCGGGCAACCTTAGGCATTGGTATGAATCAAGAAAGAAAAGAAAAAAAGGAAAAGAAAGAGAATTCTTTCTAAAAAAGTCCCGTTGAGTTTTCTTCTTTTCTTGTTTCCTAATATAGTCTTAAGTACAAGTTTTAAGATTTTTTTTCGCAAAAATGTTTCTTTTTAAATAGAGGTGAGAAAAGAATAATTGGTTCTTTGGCCAACAGACATCGCAATCACCAGATAATTTCTAGTAATTTGTAGGAAATGGCTACCTACGCAACTTGTAAATGTTTGGTACACCGGAGAAGTTTCAGATGCGATGTTTACGGGTGCAATGATAAGCCCAATAAGTATACTTCAAAAGGAGTTTTATTGCGAAATAATTAGCATAACAGTCTTAAACGTTAATCCCTAGCTTTTTAAGTTCCCTAATCGGCCGGTCCAGGGCGCGCGGTCCGCGGCTGAGAGGCTGCGCTCTCGACTATTTAAAACATCCGGCGCCGCCCTCGGTGCCAGTGGCCAATGACCGAACTGAGCAGCTAGCCCACACGGGACCTCCCGAGGGGTTCCGCCGCCGTTGTATGCAAAGGAGGGCGCGAGCCCTCCCTCCCGCTCGCACAGCGGGAACACCGTCGGCTCGATCGGAGCCGAGGTGGGGCGGCGCCGTGTACAGCAGAGCGAGACGACAACACCGCTCCGACCAAACACCACGAACTGCGGCCCGAACCCGACCCCACCGTACCACGACGAGCCTGCTATAACCATTATATTTACAAGACATATTACAAACGTTAGCAACACCGCTTCAACATTACACTACCTCGTAAACGAGCATGATAACAATCTTTTCTTTTTTTTTTCTTTTACCATATTTCCTGAATTGTTTTTTAATCTTATACTAAGCTATACTAAGCCTATGGAAAACAAAACAGATGTAATATTTTGATTTGTAACATAATAAAGTGGTTTATGTACTGATCGAACAATAATCTTATCTATAATCACAAGTGGCCGATTTAGATTACTGACAAAATTATTTCAAACATTTACCCAAAGTTACTTATACATCAGATTAAATTTTTTGTGCTTGGTGTACTTTAGTTTATCAGTTTAAAATGTATATGATATGCAGAAATAAACAAACAGAGAGGCTTTAAGTATACAAAAAGTACTTGATAATGCTGAATGTACACACACAAAACATTTAAAAATTGTTGATGATACATAAAAACATGTAACAATTTTGTAATCAAGATTTTTTTTTATATAATTCTTTTTCTGAATTGAAATGTACTAAACTTTATTTTTAATGATCAAATGAATATTATTGAATACACATTTTTTTTATATTTTATATATTAACAATTACATGAAAGAAAGGAGATGCATTCAAAAGTATCCATTTTACAATCTACAGTTTCTAGTGGATTATTAACATATTTTAAATTATTATAATATTAAGGTATGATCTACTTTCTCTTCATTATGGTTCATCTTCATAGAGTTGGCAGCATTCGTGCATTATGCAACATTACCGCAACCATTGTACAAAAAATATATTTCTTTGTCTATATGTACAACAGAAGGCACAGACTTAACTATGGCCTGTAATATTCACTTAATAAATGCTTCAGGCGGAATTTTGCCCTCCGATTGGAGCTGGTTGAAGATAAACATAGCACGTTGGAGGTCCCAGCCTGTCTCTTGTAAACAACTAGAAAAAAAAAAACTGATTTTTTGAAACTGAATTTGGTTACAACAGAAGCAGTATTTACGGGTTATATCATGTCAACATTTCGATACAATAGCCTCAATTCTCCATTTTTGACTGTGCATACTAACACTATAATCAAATCCCAGACTCACGGAGAGCCTTTCATCACATAGACACATTTGAAACAAAATATGTTTTAAGAAAGTGGAAAAATGGGAATCTTATTGATTTAATAAACAAGCATAGTTTGCCTTGTATCAGCCAACACCTAAAGTACTTTTTTATAAAAGCTTAACAAACATTTAGTAATTTTTTGGATGAATTACAAGCGCAAATCAACAGCTTAATCGTAGCAATCTCTCCGTGGCGCTGTTGGAAAGGCATTGCCTTCGGTGCCGAGGGTCGTAGGTTCGATTCCCACACGGGACAAGTATTTGTGTGACCCACAGTAATTGTTTCAGATCTGGGTCCACATGAAATGTATATATTATTTATTTATATATTTTTTAAATTATTTATTTATTTAGACATCCTTACAACTCAGGATAATCTTATACTACAGTTAGGGCAATGTTTCAAAAAATAAAATGAAATAAAAGCTATTGTGATGCCATGGCAAACGTAAATAAAGTTTGGCAATACATATTGAAAATACTGTTTATTTCAAATTATAAAGAAAAAAAAAGAAGTCATAAATATACATTCTTTCATTGCATTTTAGACGGGATTATTACAGATATTATAATGAAACCTAAAATGACTTACTTGAAACTCCAGTGATCATTCATGCCAGTTTGCTGACCAAGAGTGCTTATCAGCATCTTTTGTTGATCATTGGTGAAAGAGGCAGACGTGGATGCTGTTGCTGAAGTAACTGATGCAGATGCAGGACCTGACATATCTGGCATTCCCGTTTTGAAGGCAATTTCTTCCTACAATAACAATTTTCACACTTACAAAATAAACAATGTTAAACTTAGTTTGTATACACCATGGTATTACAACCGCGACATTAAATGAACACACTTCTAACGCTACTTGCCAATAATCGTAATAAAATACAAACATTTAAAAAATCCATAATTAAAAGAAATAACTTTCAAACAAACTAAATAATTAAAAAAGAAACAAAATTTATAACATCTATACAACAACAACAGACTGATTCATACATTCAGGACTTTTTCATTCATTGCCACAACCTCACATTACAATTCTCTCCTTCTAACAGTATGTTTTATCTCTTTTAAATTCATTCTACCAACTCATATGCTCTGTGACCTTTACAAATGAACTTTACGTTACAGTTTTATATATAGGGTGTTCTAAAATAATTTGTTTTGGAGAATTAAATAACTCCGTAACAATTGACATTTAATGAAAGTAAATGTTTATTACAATTTAAAAAAGTTATCCTCTATATGTGTGTTTATTTATGGTCGCGATATTAGCGCCACGTTGTATAAGTTTACAATGTATATGAACTTTAACTTTATAGTGTCCAATTCTTCTTTATAATTTTTTCTATATTTTGAATCAGCTTACATACCTGCTCTTTCGAAGTGTTGGTAACATATAGCATGTCATTGATGATGGAGAAACCACCACCTGTGTTGGGCACTATAACGAAGGTCCGATGGAATGATCGTGTTGGAGTTCCTGCAGTGGTTGTTTCCTTGTATAGACCATTCATGGTCAGTACTATCATTGTAGGCTGCGTGAATATAAATAATATTTTTAAATATATAAGTTATAATGTGAATTTTGTAGATAATTCTATCTATGTATTGCATTTACAAAAATTTTACAAGTAACATTTTTAAAAGTCATTTATCTACAAAACTGATAATTTAAATTTCATTTTAAGAACCAAATACTAGTACTTGAAATAAATATTAATCCGTAATACATAATTATTTGAAAATTGGACAAAAATCGGCTTAAAGCAATTTGGAACTAAGGCGAGCATCTCAAAAATAAAATGTCAAATAAAAATTAATTAGATGCTTAGCCTATTATATTTTTTCATTCTAATGCACCGTTAATCTTGTCTCCTTAATGCCGTACAAAGTTTTCGACATATCGGATAATTAGATCCGTAAACGATACGAAAGTGCAATTATAAAGTGATAAAAAGCAATTAAATACATGAACAATTTGAACTTTTCACGTAAATAAAAGAACATATTTTTTTAAAATTACAAACAAATAAACACATTGGCAACAAAATCGAGCAGGATAATATAGAAGAGATAGTGTTTTGATTGACGTATACTCACGGTGAAAACTAGCAAGTCCACAGCAAAACCCATCAAATCGTGTGTTGTTTTGGGCAAGTCCGACAGGAAAGAGACGACTTGAAGTTTACCCGAGCGTAAGTATCTCCGTCTCGATTCCCGTTCCGTGATGCGGATTATATTGCGGCTGTTCGATATGTATTGGTTCAATCTGTCGACAAGGCGTCAAAATAACATAACCCATAAAAACAAGCTCTTTTAAAATCTGACTAGGAAGAGATGACACTTCTCACCTCTCGGTCAATTTTTTAATTGGATTGGAAAACATCTATTCAGAAAGGTCCTCAGTGCTGGTTGCGGAATTCTGTTGATATTTCAAACCAGCGATTTTATAGTTTGTGATGTGATAAGGGAGTGGATTGCTTCCTACTTAATTTTGATTGTAATTCGGTTAGATTTAACTACTAGACTGTGATTAGTGTTAATTTAATTAAAAATGACGAGATTGTTTGTGATTTCATATGTTTCAAATTATTTTCCACTTCCATCGCCTAAAAGCATTATGACAACACATTGTAAAGATAAGCTTAATATTATGGCCTAAAATGTGTGCAGTGTTGTCTTTTTAACGAATTAAGTATTTTTATTTACAAAGTAAATCAATTCACTATCACTAACCTTGTAGTTGGAGAGTTCCTATTGTCGTTGGTAAGGTAATTTGCGGCCATCGACATAGTTGCGTGTTCGTGGTACGCCTCCAACAGTGACTGTCTGGACTCTGAATCGAAAATCGCAAAGTACTGCGTGAGGAACTCCCTCACGAGGTCCTGACCAGCCGGGTCGATGAGGAACGACTGCTGACGCGGCGGCAAATTAACATCTTCTGTCACGTCGAACCCAATCGCAGGGGGCAGTTCCGCTCCGTCCTGAGAATTTCATTAAAAAGCTAATAATGTCCCAAACACATTATTTACAGTCACATATTTTCTTAATAAAAAAAATAATCTCTAACCCAATAAATACGCGTCACTCACATCAATCATAACTCTATATATGTACCAAAAAAACATAGAGACTGGAGTCCAGCCTCCCACCAGCGGAGATCTGAACATAAATTGGTTATGATTAAAGTGGCTCCAATCGTTTCAAATCTATGCTCATGCACGCATATTAAAAAATCCTCATTGTTGGAAATACTCACCAGGCGCACGAGCTTTGGGAACTTCTTCCGCACGTCGCTGGACAGACAACACATGGCAACAGATGAAAATTAACTCTGAAAATCTGGCAACATTATTAGTATGGTAAACAGTGAAGTGGCGACCTTTATAAAAGAACGCCAATTCAATTTGATATGTTGGTTCATTTTCTTTCAAATTGTGTAATACCGTTTTTATTTTTGTAGATAATTGGATAACTTCAAAAATAACATGTAATATAAAAGTAAATAAAAACATTTAAACAAGGACAAGCAGAGTATTCTTTAAAAGTACAGCTTGAGACATTATTAACAATGTGTAAAAACATTTTTAATAGTCTCCTTTTTATTCAGATACAATATGTATTATAAATTATATTTTATAGAATACTCAGTTTTCTGTACATTTAAAAAAAATATAACATACCTTAGAAATTATTAATTAACCATAATTCTCAACACTGAGAACAATTTTAAACAGATTGTTTGTTGAATTTTCAATATAATTTAAAAGAATTGTATCAATGTCCATTTAACCAAATTTTAACATACAAGAATTGCTTTACAGAGTTTTCCAAAATAACACCTAGAGTAAATTAATACAACATATAACAATATCTCACTGATTATAGCAATTTCTAATTACTTTTAAAAAAAAAATTCTGAAACACCTTATACAGCGTGTCTTTACCATCGCGACAATAAATGAACACACACCATCGTGTAAAAAAGTAACAGCCTATACATGTCCCACTGCTGGGCAAAGGCCTCTTCTATATAGAGGGTATTGATGTTTAAAGAATATAAATGTTTAATACAATTTTAAAAATTTTTTCCTCTACGAACACACATGTAGAGGATAAATTTTTAAAATTGTATTAAACATTTATATTCTTTAAACATGAATATTTACAGAGTTATTAAATTTTCCAAAACAAGGAATTTAAGAACATCCTTACGTATAAAACTGTAACGTAAAGCTCATTTGCAAAGGTCACAAAGCATATGAATAGGGTTGAATGAATTTAAAAGAGACAAAACCTGTTAGAAGGAGGGGCTTGTAATGCGACGCTATGGCAACAAATGAAAAAGTTTCTGAATGTATAAATCAGTCAGTTGTAGTTGTAGTTGTATAGGTGTTACAAATTTTGTTTCTTTTTTACTTAATTTGTTTGTTTGAAATTTTTTTTTTAATTATGGAGTTTTTTAACCTTAATATTTTTTACAAGTAGCGTTAGACGTGTGTTCATTTATTGTCGCGGTGGTATAGACACGCTGTATACAGATAGTGTACATATCCTCAACCAACATGATATCTATTGCAATACCCACTTCAAAGTTATTACAAACTGAGTAATTACAGTCTAATAGTATTTCCCCATTAATTTCAAAATATTGTTTTAAATTATTTTGATTATCATAAAATAACATTGATATTACACAATTAATTATACAAATAAAATAAATAAATAAATTTAGCAAATTCTCATCAGTTTTTTAAAATATAAATTTTATCTACATATTATTGAATAATAAATTAGTCAATGCTATTATAGAGAGTGAAGTTAACCAAAACAAAAATTTACTTTCTGTATAAATTCAAACAACAAATTATATGTTTCAACATTGTGCATAATAATAATCATATTAGGGTCACACTGAAAGTTTTTAGAAATGGCCAGTTAGAAACATTATCAATGAAAACTTCTTTGAAACTTAGAATGTAAAACTCAATAAGAACAAATTCTTTGGTGACCTAACATGATATATTGCATTAATTTATCATATGTTATGCTTTTGAGAATCGGCGGCTATTTAAACCTGTCGACTATTACGATTTTGTTGTTGTGTTACACAATGGTGGTCTTCAAATTTTGGTTTTATGAATTAATTTAAAAATATTAATTGGTTTAATGGATTTTAAAGTGGACCTAGCAATCTCAGTGGTGATCTGCATAAGAGACATCTTCCAACACAGATGGATACTCCATAGATGGACGGAAGACCAAAAACACCTTTGCATGGATTGGTGTCGCGAAATGTTATGAAAGATCAATGGAGGTGATTCTAATACTATATTTGACATTGTCACAGGTGATGAATTAATAAGAACCCGAAACCCAAAAGGCAATCTGCTGAGTGCGTGTTTCCTTTTGAGGATCAGCGAACAAAAGTAAAGAAAGGGAGAAGTCAAGGAAAAAGGTGACTGCCTCGTTCTTTGGTCGGAAAGCTCATTTTGCGACCTGCAGACTGATTATGTTAACTGCTGTTTGCATGTTACCTTTGAAAATTTTCAAAAAAAATTAGCAAAATCCTCTTAAACACGATTCTCCTTCACCAGGACAACGCTTAGGCGCTCGTCGCGAAATGAACAATTGAATATTTGACTATGGCAGGTGCCGAGATAATGAATCCGCCATATAGTCCACCTCTTTTATTTAATCCCAAGAAAAAATAAACTTCGAAGTATATGTTATGAGCCCTGAATATGCGGTGAATGCATTCGAAAATGCCCCTTAAGGAAGAATGGGCCCACTGCTTCTCTCAGTGATTCCATCAAATGCGAATTATCAAATGCCATATACATGGAGAGAAATGGAGAAAACTTTGAAAAATAATAAAAGGAACTTTCAGTGTAACCCATAAAGACATCAATAAATTCATCCCTTCCGGAAGCAATTAATTTTAAAATTGATAATGAATGACAAAGATAAAACAAGTTCTTGTGGTGAGCATCAGGGTAAATACCACAAATTCACAGGAGACCACTGTAAAGTAGGAATGTTGCACCTGTTGCGTTTCGTCTGGTGAGTGAGGTAGCCGGGCCCCACTTTATTTAAGGGTGGCAACGCATTTGCAACCCTTCGGGTGATGTATATGTCCATGGGCGGCAGATATCACTTAACATCAGGTGAACCGCCAGCTCATTTGCCACTTTCTCACATAAAAAAAAGGAACTGTTATGGCGAATACTGCATTACCATTATCCATTACAGAAAATAAAATCTACATTACAATGAAATAAGAATACACATCAAAACTGGAATGAAATAAATACATTCTGTATACCCAAAGGCATTTCATATAAATAGTTACTAAAATAATCACAATAATGCATTCATAAAATATGTTGATTTGTATAATTATTTAAAAAATCATTTCACTACTGTCAAAACATGCATTTTCTTAAAAAGAATTTGTTATAAATAGAATTGCACATACATTTCTTTTCCTTCATAAACAAAAGTGTTAAATTAACCATACTTCAGTTTTATTGCAAGATCTTAGTAAATAGGATTTCTTTAAATCAAAAATTAAATGATAATTTACAGTACCCATATTATATTATTCATTGCATAATTATGTCTTATATGTAACAGTAGGGTTGCCAATCATACTTTATAATAACATATCATACTTTATTTTTGGTAAATATACTTTATTCTTTTGCATAAAATAAAGTATGTGAAAATACACTATTTTCAATCCTTTGATGCATGAAATAAAAACAATGTATGTTTCTATTAGGATAATTACTGAACTTTTATTGATGCTTCTAAGTTGAAACAGAACCCTTTCAACTTTAAAGCTTTTGCTGATTTTGCATTATATGGTTTAACAAACACATTTTTATCCCAATAAAATCTTATAAAGTTTTTTTTTTTTTCAAATGGTTAATAATTCATCATTTGATACATTTTCAATAGATATAATCTTTGTGTAATCAGTGTGTGTGCTACTATGTGATTTCCCAAATTTTCATTTTAATAAAAGTTACTTTTTCATCCAAAGATTTCAGTATAAAACAAAAAACTATGAGTGTGTGCTAGAAGCATACAAAAATATATATTCAAGAGAAATTAACAAAATTTGGAAAAATGCTTTATTTTTTCTCTACTTGAATAACATACTTTATTTTTCTTGAAAACTGTTGGCAACCCTATATGTATAACAGTGACTTTCGACAAATTGGTCTATCATTGTTAAAAAGACAATATAATTGGTAAAAGACAATATGAGTAGATTATAAATTAACAATTGCACAAGGTTAAAATGGCCATATATCAAGATATTCTTCTATTCTAATATCAGACAGAGTCAAAGTACATGTTGACACTTTTCAAGAACATGCAAAATTTTATATCTCCAAGAATTCCACCTCTTGGAGTCTGTGATAAATTCATATCATCATCAAATAAATATTACCTGATATAAATATCGTGATCATTAAACCTGTTCTGCAACGGATTTCCTTTGAGATATAACTCCACAAGTGGAAGAGATTTCAACGGGTCCAGTGATCCAAGGAAGGGAATCTGAAAATCATATTCACACAAATCACATTTATTTTGTAGTTAACTTTCATAAATGAATGCCAAGATTCATCATGTGTTGGTCAGATATACTACAAAAAAAAATGCTTTATCATATATAATTAATAACAATTTAATTACCCTATTGTCTCCTAGATACAAAATCTTTAAAAATTTCAACTTGGTTGACAGTATCTTCAGGTGCTCTAATCCATGAAGTTTATTATCATTAAGGTTCAAAGCTTCAAGATCTGGAATGTTCTCTGCAATTATATCAATAGCAGCAAGCATGATAACAGGACGAAATAGAGCACAAAATATCTCCGCCAAGTCTGCAAACATAAAATGAGCACTGTGAAGACTTTTAATTCCTACATTTTATTTGTAAATGACACAAGTTTGTGAATTCTTAAAAATTAAGGTATTTTTGCCATTACCAGGCAAGTGTTTTTCGAGCTAACAAAATTTTATTTGGTAAAGATAAATCATTAATGAAATAATCAACAAGCAAAATTTGGAAAGCACTTATATTGTTTGAGAAAAAAAATATTTAAGACTTGTTATGTACACCAAGAAAATTCGCCATTTTACTAATTATTTCACTTCAAAAACTGAATACACAGTACTGGCAACATATAAATGAAAGGCCCATTTACATGATGGTATTTTCTCATATGTACAAGAGCAATAATTGAATGCAATACATTAAGCGATCTAAGCGAGACTAATAATTGATCATCAAGAATTGTAAGCAACTGTTTGTACGCAGATATAGTAAAAAAATTGGATGCGATTATTGAATGCAAGTCTTGATAAAAATTATTGCAAAGGACTTTTGTTTGCACCAATACAATTTTGTTTAGGAGATTATTGCTTTCAAGTTTTGTCTTATCTAAATACAGGCTTATATGTGTGTGTACCATTTATTAGAGAGATGCTTCAAGTATTGCATGTATTTACATAGGCGAATTATTCATTCCAGTATTGAATGTTTTAAAAAGGCTGTTTATTAAAAAAATTAGTCAATAATAAATGTTCAAGTCAGATTCTGCCTATTTAATAAATTTGATTGAGATTTTATGATCCAATTTTTTTTATGAGCTTTTCTCAATATATCTTGCCTCAGAAGAGCAGCCAGGAACAGACACCCTCGTTCATGGTACTCATGTTTGCAAAGGAAGAGAGAATACAATTGAATACAAAAATTTCTTAATAAATTATTGTGTATGCTGTTTACACCAAGAAAAGTTTTGAAACAAAACTTGAAACAAGTCTTGTTCCATAGTCAAGAATGTTTAGTTTAGAATGTGTTGTTTAGATGCAAATCCCTTATTGCTTCAATTTAATTGAATACAAAAGACAAGAAACTTCCATCATGTAAATGCTTAATGGAGGTGGGCAACAATATATTTTTTTTTAATTTATGGAGTCAGATCTAATTGGACAGGGCAAACTGACTTGGATAGGTTAATGGTTATTTCTTTTTTTATAACCATCCAGAATGTCAGTGTAACAGTAATTTTAGTATATTTACAGTCTTTTTTTAATAATAAAAGATTATTACTAGGAAAAGTCTGTGAATTCGTAAATTTGTACTTAATTTTGTGAACAAGAAAGTTGTTGATTTCTTTATTGAAAATGTTTTAATTTTTTTTTTCTTAAAAACTATAAGCATAGCCTATAAGCCAAATTACGCTTGTTGATTATTTCATCCATGATTTTTCTTTACTGAATAAAATTTTATGTCGGAAAACACCTGTACGCTAATGGAAAATTCTACAGTTGCAGCATAGAGTTGGTTCAATTTGTACAAATTGAACACTAGAATATATTTCATAATATCAACAATCTAAAATAATTCAAATAAATTACCAGGATCTGCATGAAATTTAGTCAAGTCCAAAGCCTTAGTAGCAGCATTATATCTCTTTGCCATTACTAATTTCATTTTTTCTTTCATGTCTGCATCCACATTTACATTAGGAACTGTATTTCTCACTATTACTACCAACTTGAAGCCATCTGACATGACAATTTTCCTGTCTGCTTGAAAAAGCTTTTCCGCAATTTTAACATCATCAACATAGAAAACTGCAGCATTGCCATTAATCTTATAGTAGTGGGGTATAAATATTTCTGGGGCAATATGATTAAGTAACGCTCTTAACACAACATCTTTATCATGCTTTGCTCCATATGGTATTATAATTTGATACCATGGTAACATTCCCGCCACAAATCTTTTTTTACCAATGCCATGACCAGATCTTGGTGCTGGAGAACCAAGTCGACTTCCACGACCTCTGAAAGGCTTCCTTATCCCTTGGCCTCCTGATGCACCCATATCAACATCATCATCAAGAAGAAACTTGGTATTGTTCTTCCAGGAATTAAATTTATTCTTCCCTTTATTAGTGCCTGGTTTAAAGCTCACTCGTCTGGGGTTGTGGGCACGATCGTCATGTTCTAAAAACCATTTAATCATTTAATTTATAAAATGCTGACACAAATACAAAGCAAAAGCCAAAAATTTCCATTACTGTGCACATTGTAAATATTCGAATCGAAAAAGTGTACACACAGAAATTAAAATGAAATTAATACCAAAGTAACTTTATATTACGAAATTAAGTATTATATGAGGCAATACTTACCAAAATGTTCATTATCCGCTTTCCAGTTTCTCATACGTCCTCCTCCACCTCCACGTTTAGGCATGGTTTTTTCGGTTTTTTGCAATAAGCAACAACAAAGGCAGCAAGTCTTAGCAATTTAATCCGTAGAAAATATCTCCGGAAGCTTAATCAAGTTATTTAGTATTCATTGAACTATTTTATGAATACATTAAAGTAATATTTACTTGATATTTCAAAATTCAGAATTATTATGGCATAAGTATTGTACGCTTTCCTTTAGCAAGAGTTTTGACTACTATAGGGTCTATAGTATAGACATTAGCTACAGAGCATGACGCAGAGCGGAGGCACAGAACATCTATACCACTATACATGCAAAATATCACACAAAAGTGATTAGTAAAAGATTAAAGAAAATCCATAAAACAAGTTACGATATTCCTTTGTTCTGTTACACATTAGATTCATAATACAAATAACTTTCAAATAAAAAAATTCAAATATTTCTTGGTTTCCAAGCATTTAGCCATGAGTTTTCAATAAGGTTTTTATACTGGACAATACAATTAAACTAATGTTAAAAAATGTATTTTATGACATCTTATCAATAAATGAAATGAGAATACCTCTTAAGAAAAAAAAAGAGCTTTGAGAGAACCCATTTATTAAAGAAAGAAGAAGAAGAAGAATACCTCGTAAGAGTGGTAGAGTGGTAGATGCAAAAATGTTCAAATTACGACCAGTGTACTTGTAAATACTTCACTGTTATTTTATTCCTAATTTTTCAGCATTATTGACAATACAATAGAAGAAATAAATTGTTCGCATACATGACAAACTTGTATGTTGTAGCTGAAATAGAATATAATAATTTAATATCATGGAATGTTATTTTAATCATAATCCTGGTATCACTGGGTTATTTTACTGTAATTACTATTGTCTATGGTACCAAAATCTTTACATAATGTTTGAATTATATGGTAAAATTAGGTTCAGATAAATTGAAATTTAATTGTTACTTTTAAATAGGTGATAATATATTATAGAAACAGCTTAAATGTATATTTTAAAATGTTTACTACAATGCTTCATAAAATGGAACGTATTTGAAACCATAGCGTTTAAAAATAAAATGACCACAGACAAAGTTCGTGTGCTTTTCATCGAGTCTGCCATGTTTTGTCCTACTTGTCGCGCTTGATCAACGCGTTCGCGATTTCTGTTTCAAATTACTATTTTTCTGAATGTATTGGGGGGCTGTGTTTTGTTTACAAATGGTGTAGATTTTGGTTCCGTAATTATTTAAGTGAAGATCTAAACCAAGAAATCACTTTTGATACTCGTGTTAATAATGGTGTAGTTCGCATTTCATCAAATTTTGAAATCGTTCACAAGCTTGCAACAGTAGTAATCTGTATGCCGAGAATCCGTCGTAATTTTTTGAAACTATTGTTCTGACTGCTAAGTGACTATCCATCACATTGGTTCCGTGACGCAACCCACGTGCACATACAGCAAGCAAGCATCTCATGCACATTTGTTATTATTTTGTTCGCGGCCCGCGAGTTCGATCGGAAGGCGTCAGGATCGGATCGGACTGAAGAAGGGAAATCGCATTGTCTGTCTTGCTCACACTCGTCGCGTACCTCGGGTGCATTTATCCATTTTCATTGAAATAAAGTTTTTTTACTGGGGTGTGCATAATTGTTTTCGTGCGCGAAGGATAGTGTTTGTTGGTGGTCGCGGTGGCGGCGCACACGTGACGCGGGCCGAGTGTTTGGGTGTCAGTGGTCGGCACGTAGTCCGCCTGCACTCTGCAGTGCGGCGTGCGTCGGAGGTGATTCACCGCTCGGCGTGTTGATCGTGCTTATTTACCCGTGAGTGCATCGTTAAGTGCGTGGAGGAAGTGTAAAGGCATGTGTGGCGCGCGTCGGCGCCGATGACACCGCCGTCCGGGGTGACGGCGATTTGAAACGGTGAACAGTGTACCAGCTATGCGTTTCGGGTTATGAGTGTGTGACAAAGTTGAAGGGTGCTGAGGACACTGGAGCCCCTAGACGGAGTTGGGCCCGCCGGGGCGGCCCTGGTGCTTCTCGGGGCTCCTCACGAAGGAAAAATGGCTGCATGGAACCGCCACCACCACTTTAACATGCTGATGGACGAGAATGCCAAAAACAAAAGTAAGTAAAGAAAAATGTAGTGCATAATTTATGAGTTTAAAACAATCGAATTGTTTTAAATGCTTGGGGTATTTAAATTTATATTAAGAATTGAAGTGTCAATTATTGTGGGTTTTCATAAATTTTTGCAAAACGTTCACCATGTTAAGTAGGTATTATAGCACATATATACCTTGAGACACCATTAGCTTACTGTTAATACTGCAAACCTCATAAAGTTTACGTGTGATAGAAATATTTTTATTATATTTATGCCTGAATTATATATTTATTGAGAATTTAAGAAAACAATAACAATCATTAATCATGGTAGGAAATCCAACTAAATGTGTAAAATTTTTCCTTAATTTCAAAGTCCTCTTGGAACTGGAAACATTTTAAATTTTATAAACAAGGGAATGAATAAATAAAGCTTATAATTAAATTTTTTATCATCACATTGTAATAGGTTGCTTTTTATGTGTTAAATTCTTTTAATTTCAATTCATGTTGAATGAACACATAATAAATAACTGAATATGTATCTGACATTACTGTCTAAAAATAATTATATATTTTTAAAATAATTCTAAGACAGTAATACCAAAACAATTATTTCTTATCAAAAGTTTAATTGTATGTATAACAGTAAACAATGTATTAATGTAAATTAACATTAATGACGCACTAACAATACGTAGAATTCCGCTATGTCGCGTAGTACCATCCGTTCTTTGATGTAGCTTAATGCCGTGTTAATAAAAGCGCAAGTGCCTGGAGCTACATGGACCCCTGATTTATTGGTCACAATGCAATTTTCCGTCCTATCAGCTCCTTTAACCGTGCGCACTTTCGCAAGCGGACAATGTATTATGCTATACGTTGTTATATTATTCGATGCACACGGCCGGGTGGCCGTTGTAACCTGCGGGGATACGTATTGCCCTACATCCCTTTGACCTGATTTTCACCTGGCGTTCGACTCGGGGGTTTACTCCGCCGATCGGATCCGCCGATTGACCGGTTCGGTTCCACGTTACCGTTCCCTGCCAAGTAAATGCGGTTAGCCACATTATTATTTCTAGAAATTAAGTTATACATTAAATCAGTCATACATCAGTCACTCCTTTGCATATAAGGGGCTTTATTACCATGTTTATAAAGACGCTGTATACATTAAAAGGTCTCATTGTCATAGCCCGTAAACTATTTTTTTGCGTACCTTCATGATACATCGTCACGGCAACGCAAAAAGAAACATTTTACGACACATATTGGATTTTATTTCGGTACGAATTATGATCGCCCCATGTTGCCACGACCCCTAAAATGCTTAACGCCCGCCATCGACCTCCCCAACCTTTAACCTAATGCTACGTACAATCCTCGCAGATGGGCATTTGGTTTGATGCTTTTATTAGATAACAAGACATACCCCACGCTTAAGTCACTGTCTGACAATATTCAATTGGTATATAATTTCACTCACCACTGCAACTCGTCATTTGTTGGGTGAACCAATTTATTCTGTTTATCATCAATACGGGTTATAGGGGACGCTAAGATGGTTGGTTATATGCGGGAATTAATAAAGTGCAATGTTATTAATTCCCGCATATGTAGAGCCCGTGGGATGTGAATATGATAGCGTTTATCAGATCTGATAACCACTATCGATTTACCTTCTTGAAAGGTATTTGTAAGTATAATCTTTACGTTTAGATCGTTCTTAATACGCCTTCACTTTCATCTCCCACGCTGTTGGCAGTCAATTGTCGATAGTTATTTTCGCCGGATTTTAAACACCCACAGCAAAGACCATTTCCGTTTGCGAAGTTACTTTTTAGAGCGCGATATAATATGTATAAGTTTCTTGTATCTAGACAACCAACATTTAGTATGTTTATCCAGTAAACTTGTAATTGTCTAATACAATTTATTAAAGTACAGCTGTTTGATGTTTTAAGTGATCAAAAATTAATGCTACTAAAATATAATGAAATATACAGTGTCGTTACCATCGCGACAATAAATGAACACACGTCTAATGCTACTTGCCAATAATCATAAAAAAATATTAACGTTAAACAAAATCCATAATTAAAAAAAAATATTTTTCAAACAAACTAATTAAGTAAAAAAGAAACAAAATTTGTAACATCCTATACAACTCGCGCCATAGCGTCGCATTACAAGCCTCTCCTTCTAACAGTATGTTTTGTCTCTTTTAAATTCATTCAACCCATTCATATGCTTTGTGACCTTTATAAATGAACTTTCCGTTACGCTTTTATAGGTAAGGATGTTCTAAAATTCTTTTTTTTGGAAAATTTAATAACTCTGTATGTGTATCCCCTATATGTGAGTTCATTTATTGTCGCGATGGTAACGACATGCTGTATATCTATCTGATTCAAAGTTCTGATCAAAGTTTGGACAGTGTAAAATGCTTGACATAACATTAAGCTGCGGTATTTTCTTAAAAAGAATAACAATAACAAAAAAAAAGCGGTTAATAAACGCATAAGACGAAGTCATAAACAGCCCTGCGAGCGCCAAATATTTGCAGTGGTCGATGTTTGCGCGGCGAGTGAGTGTTTGTCTGGAGTGGTATTACCGCTCGCGCGGTCAACTTTCATTTGGCGTCTAGTGGCTGTCGCTAAGCGGATACTGGCCTCACTGTGCTGCTATTAAGCCCAAACGCCCGTGCACCGACTGCCATGTAGATGCTATCGTGCTCTTTGGAAAGTAACCGGCCACGGTTCGCCTCGACGCTGAATCGCTTCTCCGTTCTCATTGGCCCGCCGTCAACACGGAATCTGTCCATTTCCGTCCGCCGCGCGGATTTAATGTTCGAATCGTCACTTGTACCGTTAAATCTGATAGACTCGCGAGTCGTTGCAATCGGTACGAGCGCACCCGAGTCGCCATCTCCGGCGAATTCGACCGCTTTGTAAAATTACGAAGTTTGTCGAAAAATTAGAACACGTCAGGTGTTCTATTTTTGTTTTACCATTCTTTAAGAAAACAAAGACATCTAGATGAGCGACGCTATCAACCTGTCTATGGGAAATGTTTATGAAATCTCATTCCTGTAACACATGGTAACTAGTGATTTAACGGTAACAAGTTAAGTGGGCGCGTCTCGGCGCAAGTGGCACAGTCCCAGGGATGGTGAATGGTCACCTTTCTCCGACTCACAGTCTAGACGGCTCGGTTTCGGCCCGTGAATGAATTTACCATCGGAATGCGGAACGACAAATTTCAATGTGATTCATCATAGCCCCGCCGATGTCGACGTCGATGGGTTAGCGTGGTGAAATAGTTTGTGAGTTGATGTGACTAAAATGACTGGCTTACTTGTTTATATTATTTTATAAATTATTTTATTGATTGTTAAAATTTAAAGTAGATTGCGTTTATTATCTGCGTTTATTATCGTGTTAAGTACAAACATCGTAATTAGCCCGGGCTACCGCTTTATTATTCTCATACATTCAATAACACATTCTTCCTTTTTCTCATTAATTTTTTTTCCAATCTAACTTTAATCAATTTTGAAAAATGTAAATTTCATAAGTCAAAGAAAACTGAAGCGTTGATAAAAAAGGTTGAAACAAATTCACGCATAAACTGTTCTCACAACACGGGCGTATTTCGTTACAATTAATATACATACTTGAGACACTAATCATTGTGATATTTTTAAAACAATCATTTTTTGACCCCGTGGCGCAAGTTCCCAAAGTATTTGCTTCGGCGCCGTGGGTCGTGGGTTCGATTCCCGCACGAGACGACTATTTGTGTGACCCACAGATAGTTGTTTCGCATCTGGACGTTTGTCCACGTGAAGTTTATGTTTGTAAAACATTCTTACAACACACGATAATGTAAATAAGTATCAGTATCAAGTACATCCTAAAGTAAGGGCCCTGTTTCTTAAAAAGAAAAAAAAAGAAAGAAAAAAATCATATTTACACTGTACACGAATTTCAATAACAATTTATCGAGGGAGTTTCATTAAGCTCGACGCGTTGGCCACGTGGGCAGCGTGTCGAGAGTGGGCATTTAAGTACCCTGTGCAAATGCTAAGATTTCACCGACAGTCGTTGACGGCGTTCTCGGCCCGTTATATCTGTTTTCGAGGTTTCATTGCGCACCGACGAAAATTTGCATTTTAATTGGTCAAATTTTCGCTAATGAACAACGTTTCATTGTCGTTTCGGACGAATTTTGTGTACAGTTTGCACGGTGACTGGTGTATCCACCAGTTTTAACCACCACCACTAAATTATGCATGCCAACGAATAGTATCCTATTCGTTGGCATGCTAATAAATTTAGTTTCGTTATTTCGTACAGTGTAGGTTCATTCCGTTGAAATCATTTGTAGCCCCGATGCAACATCGGACTACATTATTAAATTTAAAAAATTAAAATTATCTAATCATTACAAACCGTTTCGTTCTGAACGGCGTATGTCAGTAACACTGAATCCTCCTCCGATCTTTTTAGCTCGGAGGAGGATAGATTTAGGATGGAGTGGATGAGTGACCCTAGTCGCTGCGACAAAGATTACTTTGTTATAGCAATGAACGGACATATAGTCTATGTTTACTGTTTTCCTCATGTTTATTTACTTTTCACTTTTTTTTTTCAAATAATTTTGAAGTTCTTGTTACTGATACAAAACATTTATACTTTAACCAGCAGCATAATAGAGAGCGATAATAAAATTCAGATTTAAATGCTGATACGTCGCACTACGTGACCGACACTTATAGATACATAAAATTATCGCAGTGACAAGATTAAACTTCCTCGTGTAGACGTTAAATAAAGGCACTTGGTTACGGTCATTACGCAACAATAGTTCATTGAAACGATAAATGTGTTTTTATTGTGATATTAAATGTCCTCAGTAATTTCCGCTCGTCACGTAGGAAAATAAATACTCGCGTAGGCAAGCATTATTGCTAGGCGCGCTACCTGCGAGGTGTAACAACGAGTCAGCCCTAAAGTGCCCCTTGGAGTCAACGGCCGGCCGTTAAGGTTTTTGCGCGGCCAGCGGCTGTTCATATTTTAATAACAGATTATATGGAGGCATCGGGTAACGGTCGCGACGCCGACGCGGAAACTCCAAAGATGAAAACTGAACCTTAAAAAAAAACTACTGGATACAAATGAAAACTTACTTTGAGAATGTTTTTATCGTTGATTCAAAGAATAAACATTTCGCTTTCCGTTAGTATAGCAAAAAAAGTATCCAGAACTTACCAACCCGTGTGCCTAACCACATTTAACATTTAAACGCAAAGGTCAATAAGTGACCGATGTTTTCGCAATGGAAACTTTTACTTGGCGGCCCAATGTTTTTGTATCGAGCTGAGGCTATTTTCGCGACCTTCATACCAGCGGTGTTCATTGCCCTTCAGTGTTTCGAAATTCGCCTCGTTTTACGTCGCTGCATTGAACAATAATCGTCGCCTAATGGACATCTGAAAGCGGTCGACGTCTTGGTTCGCCTACCGAGATAATGGAGGAATTGCGTAAAAGTTGTATACCTAATTGGCGACTTTTAACGTTAGCCAACACCGCTCTCTGTTTAAGCTGATTGTTCTAGAGTTCTAAAGATACAGTCCTTGTATTCCCTTATGTTCATTTATACACAATGGCCGGGGGCGGTTTCGCACTAAACTAAGATTAATAGACTCTTACTCGATTGCAATATCTAACAAAGCTAAGTTTGTTTCATGGCTAAACTTAGTTTAAACTTGTCGCTTACCTCTGTACGATCGTACGGTTCTATGAGGAAGTTGTAACTTAAGTACAATGAAACAAACCACGTCTGTGTTTACTTCGAATTTCCAATTTGTTGATTGTAAATTTTTAACCAATACGGTCAGCTAATTAACAACTAGAAATTAACTCTATGCTGTTAGTGTAATTAAATTAATTTCGTGGGAAAACTCCACAAATATTTTTAAATCACATGAGAATGTGATATCAAAAATTCTTATGCTAGAACAATTTTCTGTTTTATTGTTTTTCTGCCTAGTGCTTGCTTTCCTTTTAACTTTTCTCTCATTTATAGTAAATAATTAAGGATGCTATTTCCACGAATCAAAATATTCATTCAAAAATATACCATTATTTTTGAATGTACCGGATATTGCGTCCACGTCGTTATTTTCGATATACGGTTCCATTTTCATTCAAATCCTCTTAGCCGCTGTGGTCCACATCCATAACTTTTGCATTTAATACAGTCACCTGTTTTAATATCTCAGGACATGCTCTATATTGAACAACGTTTATAAACAGCAAGAGAACGTAGAGCGTGTTCAACAATGTCTAAAAGGAACATTTGCGGTGGAGTACCCGTCGGGCCCCAGCGTCGTTGACCGGCGGTTTTTGCAAGGCCCACAGCAGGCCCGCCTATAGCGATCTAGAACACGACACCGAATATCGGTATAACGCGATTGTGTTTCTCACTATCGTTTAATTATAAGACATTCACTTTTCCACTTCGAGTTATCGTAACGGATAACTTGTCGAAGTGAAAAAAATATACGTATATTTTTCGCATGTTTCTTATACTCTTTATGTTTGGAGTTCCTCACAGTTAATATAGACGCGCTATTTGAATTAAATCAAGTTGAGTAATAAATGTTCACTACATTTATCCATATGAACTAATTACGTTTAATGATCATGAAATATTATAATTAGATCAGTTTATATGTGTAATTAATATGTGATTTCGTAGGTAAACAAGAATCTTATGGAATACGATAAAATTACTGCAATATTATGAAAGATTTTTCTTTGTTTGCAAAACCCTTATCTGTTTGCATCATGCACGTACTGTCGTTCGTCGTTTACATGTTAAATTATTTACATACTAGCGGAACGGACAGACGTCCTGTACACGTGGCTTAAATCCAATTACTTAAAAAAATTGTGAAAAAAGTGCGAAACCATTCTCGAATCGACCTGAAGACACACAAAAAATTTCATCAAAATAGGTTTAGTCGTTTAGGAGGAGTTCGGTTTCGTCACACAAAGTTCATTAAATCCAGAATTATTTTGATGTGTTTGTACATATAATTGGCTGTGCAATCTTTAGAAAACATCAAAACTGAGTCGGGTTGCGTCCCTTGTGGATGGTGCGGGGTTCGCTAGGATATCGGTCGCGGTTTGGGGCAACGTCGTTGCAACGCGATAGTTTCGTCAGCTAGCGTGTTATCGACAGCGGCGGCGTTGCCGGTGGGCGCGATAACGGCGCGCGCGTGGTGTTTTTCGCGCGCTCGCCACTCCGCCGGAGCCCCCGCTCGGGCCTCGGGTGAACGGCCAGACGGGCGGGCGGCCGGCCGTTAAACCTGCTCGGGGACCCGTCCTGCGGCCTCTCGCCTCGTGCCCAGCGAGCGCCTCGCGCCTCGCGCACCGCCTCGCGACTAACGACGCCGCGACTGCGCCCCGATTAATGTCTCGCGTATGCCGCTTTTTTTTTTTCTCCCCTAACCACCTCGCTCGCGGCCAGTGCGTAATAGTGTAGTGTGGTACAGATAAAAAATGTTATGCGATCGGGCAACAGCCGTAGGCGGGTGATTCGTTCGGAGAAAATAAATAGACTGCGGCGCTTTAATTCGCCATGGTACCCGGCATTATTTTCCTTTTTGTAAAATAACTTATTTACTAATAAAAACGGCAACTCTATGCCATTCCAATTCCACCGAATGGTCACTTTAAAAAAAATTATACTCGGATTTTGAGGCGGTGTAGATTATTTTCAAGAGAGAGACTAGCATAGTATCAAAAAAAATCATTTGCTAGAAAATAAACACGGAAGAGTATTCTCGTGCTTTTCCAATGTTAAATACGAGATGGAATATTCAAACATTTTCATTGATGAGCTTGCACGGGTACTACCTTTTAAATAATTCATAATACGCTAATTACCATAACAATCTTAACAGACGTAGTAACAAGGCATTTAATTACGTGACGCAGGACCGTGTTGCTACGTGTAGCTGAGTGTTGCTAGGTAATTCATTCGTCAGTGTAGTGGTCATACTGTGTACGGTGATTTGTAAATTAGCGTTTAGCGTCATTTTTATTAGCAGTATTTACGATTGTGTTAATGGGATAGAAATGATCTAAACTAACGCGAAATCTGTCTCTTTTGCCATTAATATCTAAGAAAACAACCAACCTAACGCAAGATGGCCGCGTTTAATTTTCTCTTCCTCTGTAGAAACCATTGGTGTGTCTTTTTCATTTGTTATCGCAATATTGGTACAGACTCGCCACTGTCCACTTTTCCACCTGGTAGGTTATTACCGGTAGGACGTACTGATTGTTGTTCAAAGACGGAAGAAATTTTCACATTGCTAACGAGAACTGCAGTCGAGCAAATGTAATTTATAGCTAAGGGAGTCCGAGTCTACGCAATTGAAGTCTACTCAAAGAAGTTTCTAATATATATTTCTGTGACTATATGCAACTTATTGGTAACATGTAAAAAGCAGCCCTTAAAAAGTCTAATGCCTATAGTTCCCTGTCACTTTCTATCGATCACTAACTTTAAGGGACACCTAAAAACAATTATTTTCGATGGTGAAAACGAAGTTGTACATTTATACGTGTGCATGCATTACTTTATTTGATATACTTTGAGGTCTATGTACTGTATATCTTTATTTCTCACATCTGCCTTAGCATAACATACAATAATATAAGATTTCTTATAAATACATATTGCTCGAATAATATATATATCGAAAATAATAGTCGGTCGGTCCCGTTTTACCCTTTGGGTACGGAACCCTAAAAAAATGCGCACTTGGATTTAAGTATTTGACATCCTTATGACACATAATGAAAAAAAAAACATTGTAGAATTTATTGATTTTTAAACTCGCCTGATAACGGAAAAGATAGTTTAGTTAATCAAAACTGCTTAGTTACATTTTTGCTGTCTGTAACATCTCGCGTGTTAATAGTATTTGAATTGCATAGCATTTACACTTAGAATTTTGAATACATGCATATATGCATGCATAATTTATTTCACTAGGTATTGCTATGATCTTGATATTATATATTCCTCTCTGGATTTTATCAAATCATCTTTGAACAGGTGCAAATTTTAATCTAAATAAATAATTTATGATTTTTTCCAAAACGCATGGCATTTAACTCGGAAATATATGAAATACATTCAATGCAGCTATTCTTACGGATTTAATCGCGCTTTATTTATTCTTAATATCCTGACTTTTCTAATACTTTACGCCAGTCCGCCCTATGTACATGAATGTTGGTACAACCGCTCTTTAATATAATGTAGTTATTTCGCGAACATAAGAAATGTAATATACTCAATATAAAATTGATAGTCGATTATTTTGCCATGTTTGTTGATACTAAATGCTTATCAAAGTGTTTCTCTTATTTAACATTAATGCGACTACGGCGTAAACATTTTTTTAATGAAAAGCATGATAAAGATATCAGACGGAACTAATTACAATTAAATTGATAACTAAAAGAATGAATAAACTCTGTCAGTCGTGATCACCAGTTCCTTTGAAAGAAGTTTTTCCTTTAAAAATTACTATTAAATGTAATATACAGAGAGGTTTTTCTAAGTGTATCAATTTTTTTTATTAAATTTTAGACATAAATAATGTTATATAAAAATGATAAATATTTAAAATTAGTCGTAAGTAATTAATTACATTCATTTGAACTTATCTCAAAAAGTGCCTGATTTATACGCAACTCATTTGTTTTACGCGCGATCATTCATAACTAACACGCACACAAGTTCGTGCTCAGTAAAATTTAGGTATTCAAGAATGACTACCGCATTGTCAACAAGTTCTGTTTTTTAGGGAAAAGAATGGCATTTTATTGAAAAAAAAAAGTTTTTTTTTATTTCAATAAACGGTTATACTACCCAGTCTGAACCTCCTGTGTAAATTTGGGCACTTCTCAAAAAATCTCCTTGTATATAAAAACAAATTGGTGTTCATTCTAATTCAACGCCATCTATGAGACTTTAGAGACGGGAATAAATGTATTTTCTTTCTTTATTTCTTTCTTTCTATGTAACAAAACTCACACTATCAGACAGCTGAAATATTTAACGGTTCACTGGCGAGTTAGCTGTTGACTGATTTATTTCGCATCGACGCTGCCGAGGGGAAAACAAAATTTCTCCACAGACGCCGCTCGGTCTGGCCAAGGCAAGACGATGCAAATGAGACCCCGGAAGTTCTTCTCGTGTTTATGCGCCGCTCCTGACGCCATGAGAATCTACTAGATGCATTATTCTTCCGCCTAAGTGCTTAATAGAAAATCCGCTGAATAATTCACGAGCCGATGGCGGCTAATAAAAGCGCGCCCGACAGGACGCCGTTGATATGTACAAGGAATGAGATCTATTCGAGAATAATATCCCCGGTCGGGATTGTTTACGGGCTCAGCTCTCGGTCGGATTGGTCCGCTAGTTCGCCGCGAGCACAGACGGTGCGCCCGTGCACACAGGTGGGTAGCGGGCGGGCGGCCGCGTCTGGTGCCTTTTCATTCTTTGTTTGCGCTAAGGATTTGCATACAATCGGTGAAATTGCGCGGCTGGCAGCAGCCGGCGGAAAAAAGGATACCGTGTAGCCCTGTGTGCATATGGATGTTTCCGAGCGCGGGGGCCCCTTGTTCGCAGCGTGCCCCCTACCTTGTCTTTTTCTTCTAATGGATCGTTTAAAACTTCCCAATACTCCACCCGTTTCAAAGGCGACTTATTCTGTCTGAAAAGTTCCGATTGTTCTACCCTCTTTTGGGCATCGCTTAAATTCTTATTTGCAGTGTTGCCGTGCATCTTTAGTGGGCACCGTGATCGTGGAATAACATGCATTTATTTTATTAGTACGCGAACGTCATTTCTTGAACCTCCTCATGGTTCTAGATCGTGTCATAAATTAGAATTGATTGTTAATTCGTGTCTTTTGTCCTTCTACATAAGCGGTAAATCGTGACCCTGCATTCAACACGGAGGTCCGAAGAAGTTGTTAGATACTCGTAATTTTAATACAATGGATCGATTCCAAAACATTGCACCGATTCGTTCTTATAATGGACGTTCGGTTATAATACACGGATACGTTACATGCTCAACGTATACAGAACACGGAAAACATTTTCAATTAAGTCGGACACCGTGATACGAAAATCGATTAATGTTTATACTAGTAAACTTTATACATTGATTAAAGTTTTAATTTGATTGGTTGAGGTATTAACCCATCACAAGTTTAAATTCGAATACTCAAAACAATTTGGGCTTAAGATAATTTTGTTCTCTGAACGAAATGGCATCGCTACCAATCTTGAGTGATGAGCAAAGTTTTACGCGCGCGTAGAGTTAGTTCTACGCGCGCTTCATAATCAACAATCGACGACGGGGAAGTAGGAAACGCTGCCGATAAGCGGAACGCCGATAACATCGCCGCGGCCGTCGCGGTGCCGGGCTCCGGTCGTGTTTGTCATCCGTATCACGTGGCGCTCCGCTCGCCCATGCCCATTGCTCACCTCACCGGCGACCGGCCGCCGCGTTAGTTGTGGCGGGCTGCCCGCACCGGCACACCGTCGCCGTCGACGTTCGCGCGCCAACGTCTACGCGGCGAAACACGCGACACGTGCACGAACATTGTTGCACAACAATACGCCGCGCGTAGGCAAGGACGCCCCGGCGATGCGGCCGTATCGGCCCGGTGGCCGCAATCGCATCGGCACCGTCGGACGTGTCACGTCCGGTCGCGGCCAGACGCCTAAATAATGACCCGAACGCTAACGTCGCGCGATCGGCGCACTATTACGCACCGCGCCCCTAGCGGTCAGACCTATCGTGTTGTTGTGCTCAGTAGGATCTTAAGCTGCGTATGAAAGGATGTCGGCCGAGGGAATCAAAAGCGATGAAAGTAAGTCGGTCGAGAGCGAGCTAATCGCTCATTTCACCGTAGTCAGACACACGAGTGCGCTCATACCCGGCGGTATGTCAAGGATGTCGACTTAATGGATTCTCGAAGTGTCGAACGGAGAACTGCGCAGTTGTTTCACGCCTCTACAAATCGTATACCTTGCTTGAATTTGTCTTACTTATTTATAAAAAAAATGGTTAAAGTTTAAGGTGAACAAATCTAGTTCGGGATATCTATGCCGAATCGAATAAGTGTAAAAGTGCTGTGTAATGGAATATTATACCTTATTGCGGCGGTAATATATACATTATATTATTGAACTTGAGTAGGTTGTTGACTTGCGCAAGCACTTGCGTAAGATATTTCAAACGAATTTAGAAACTCGCGCCATATTCTAACGGCGTCATTATCAAAGATTGTTTTTGAAGTAGCACTGCCATCAAAAAAGCGTCACTGTTACAAACGCGATGCACGCTGAAAACTGCAATTGCGATTCGTAAACGGCGAAGGCGTCCCTCCCACGCCAATCTACCGGCGGCTAGTCGCATTCCGCGCATACCCACCGCAGGTTGTCGGCCGGCACCTTGGCCGGTTTCGAACCGCTTGCAACGGTGACGTAGCAACTCGTCTCTGAGCGTTCGTCGGCCCGCGTGATGCCATCCACGCGTGCCCTCCCACCCCCCCTTGCCACCGTACCGAGCCGAACCGAACGGGACAATCGAACTTCTACGAGCGGCTCTCCGTACACTGGACGCCGCTACTGCGCAGTTTAAATGCAAACTAGTTATAGTAACGTTGGGATCCGAGATCGCGTGCGCTTTCGCCGCGTGCCTCTTCATCGCGACGAATTTAATATACGTATACCACTCCGAAAATTAGCCCGCTCGGGGTGAAAGACATGTTTCACCTCTTTGCCATTGAAATCCAATAAGCCGAGTATTGATCCGTTGGAGTGAGTACGTCGTAAACAACGCCACATTACGTTTTATTCGTCTTGTAACGTCTCGATTTTTTTGTTTTTTTTTTTACACTGCTCTGAGGGGACGGTGAGCATCCGACTGAATCTGAAGAATTGTAAATTGCCCAAAGTTTCTGCGGTCCTTTCACTATTTGCGTGTGGGGCCCGCTTTCAATGACTGCAACGCGCAGACTGCCGTCTCAGTTACTTTGTACGGTACAGTATAGACGTTAATGCTAATTCGCGGATGCGCCCTGGTTTTCAATCGCTTCAATGTCATTCATCGCCTCGCTAGTCATCTCCATACCAGGCATTAGTTCTAACATATGCGCACTGCGAGAATATGTTTGCTGCACGATTATCAAACATTTCGATCCGAGCTCAGAGCGTTTTGTTTGATAGATAATAATGCCGGCAGAACGCATATCAGCTGATAACTAATAACCTCGCTTATCGGAAGCTCTTTGAAACGTAGTAGGTTTACGTAAAGGTTAAATTCGAATGTGTTTGAATACCGATTTTACACATTAACATAGTTTATGTTATATTTCAGTATTATTTCCTTGTCCCTGGCTTTTTTTGTTTGTTGTACCTACAGGCGATGTTTTCCTGGAAATGCTCATTAAATATCAGTTATAAAGAAAATAATAAAATTACTATAAATAAATTAAATGTAAATTTCCTTTTCTATAATAGCTAAATCTTCATCCTTTTGTTTATTGAATTCCTCAAAATAATACTTTATATCAGAATATTTAAGCAGTCTATAGTCAATCATTTGGTAGCAGATTAGTGAAAATTAATTCTTTAATTTAATATCCCCACTGATTAAAAAAAAAGTTATAATACATGAATAGTTTCAGTAACTAAAAAAATGGATTGATGTCATTTATTAATTGCTGACGCTAATACAAAAACATCCACGCCATCGTTTTATATTTAAATTCTATAGAAGGTATATTATATATATATATAATATATATTTTGTTCGTTTCGATAACATTTCACCAAAAAACAAAACTTTTCGAAAAGACTAATTGCTGTTTTAAATAAAAATATGCAATATTTTACTTTTATTATGAAATAAACAGCGCAAAAATACCATGTCGTTAAGAAAGACGCCGCCGTGATTTGCAACGTAGCAATTTGCGTGTTCATTCTAACACGCGTATGTTCGATTCGAGGTAATCTCTTCTTTACGTACATAACGTATAGCGTTTCACTGTTAAACTACGCAGTTAGCTACTGGCGAACATTTGTGCAGTTGTACGTGATGCCAGTTGCACTATGGCGCATGTTTGTACGCTCAAGGATAATATAGGTCTTCCCTTATCTATTCCATGTAACCATTTTCATTAGTTTCTTAGAATAATCACACTTGGAATCAAATAGAAATCTACCTATAATTTTTGCTGTATAAGGATATTCGTTTTCTATGGGAAAATTATACTAAGAGGATTATACGTACATAATTCTTTTGGTACCATTATCGGGGCACAATAATGTCATTATTGCTATATGTCCCTTGTCGAATTTATCAAATTCACTACGCTAATTTTTATGGCTTCCGTTACGCAATGAGCTTGATTTACGGGTACACAGGCACGGCGAAGTATAACGTTACCTGTTTGCTTAATTTATGTATAATTAAGCCCCGGTTAATTAACTCGCAATTTAAATTGAAACCTAATATGAATGCCAACTTACGAGACGTCCAACAAACTTTTTGCTCGGATAAGTCGCCTTGAAATAAAGCCCGGAATGGTGGTGTTTTATTGTGAAATGTCACGTTGTGCCAGACGGTATATAAATAAAGACTGATTTAACTTGTCTGCGACCTCTGAAAACTGCGATAAAGTTGGTCTCGCACCTTGTATTATGTACTTTAAAAACGAAATTTACCGAGTAGATTAAATATGAAACATTGTTGATAATAATTATACACACAGTCATTTCTTTAAATCCAACGGTCCTGTTACACTTTATACGGAACTTTATTGGGTAATTGGTTTTATATTGGACCGAAACGGTTTTTGTTGCGCTACACGTAAACAAGGTTCAATTTGTTAACCGCTTATGTAACGTGTTTTGACGTAGAGCGGCATGTCAGCGGTGAGGCTTTTAAAATAAATTTCACATTCACATAGGGGGAGACAGAAAGGTATCAACGCGCACGAAGTTGCCGAAGCACTCCCAAAGGGACGATACCGCTCCTAATATGCATTGACATGTTTTGTCGTACGAAAAGTCACATTCTTGAAGTTCTTAAGACATTGATTGGTGCTCTTGAGTGCTCCTGTTGTGATCACGGCGTTCTAAATTTACAAAATACTGGAACTTGTGTTATGTTGTAACATTTTTCTGTGTAGGATGATAATATGACACACGACACATATGCCGATTTTATAGCATATGAGTCTCTTGTCACGATTTTTCTACTATTGGGCATAGAGGATTTAGACTTGAAAATATTTTTTGTGGTATCATCTATAATAAAGCTAACGTTCATCAAATGCTCACGCAGTAAGTCTATGGTGAATCTTCGTAACATGGTACCCTGGCATTCAGAGGTATCATAACAATTACACGTTGAAATAACGTTATTATATTTTAACGACATAATTTGTACTGTTTTTCACCATTGAAGTTTCTGAATTCAGGAAGCGAATCATAGCTGAACATACTCAAAAAAAATCTTGGTGAATTTGAGAACCTTTCTAGTTTTTTGAAGTCGGTTACAATAAATCTGTACCCAAATGTTTTAAATTAACACACGGCACACTTCATATTTACCAAAAGTTAGCGATCACAATATTTTGACAGTCGAATGGCCGACGAAACAATCGGCAATTCCAAACGCAACGCACTTACACCCAAACCATGAGCCCATAATAAGCTAAGCGACGTGAAGCGATGATTCATTCCGCGGGGCAAAATATCTGATTCCATCGCCGCGTGGGCGGGGGACAGGTGAATAAGCCCCGTTCGCGAGCAATCTGAGCTATTTGCTTTAGTTGATTGACATGCAACTCCCGATCGCTCTATCAATCATTTGACATCGTTCACACTCGATGGGTTCATGTGAAAAGTCGTAGATTGCTCGATGATTGAACCAGTAAATTCAATCAAAATATAAATTTATTTAAAAAAATATAAAAATCATTATGATCAATGGCATACGGACATGGAGTATGGACAAAACGCCTTTGAAAATTAATAAATCGAGATTGTATAATAACTTAATACTCATTTTGCTATAGGTATCCCACACATTTTAAGAGGCGGTTTGAGTACAATGTCATATGAAACAGTTTAACGACCATTTATTTTACGTCGTAGACTTCAAATAATGTTTTTTTGATTGAAATAATGATAATGTTTGTTTTTAAACGGTTTTATTTAGCTCGACCCGTACGGAATTTGTTTATTTATTTGGGTCAAAATTAGAAATTGAAATTTAAGCACCTTCCCGTTGTCAGATTGATCTGAAATTTGGTACACACATTTAATTTAGATGACAATACAATATTGTAGTTTTCAGTGCACATAAAATAAAACCGTTTAACTTAAAAGTTTTAAACGGTTTTATTATATATTACTAGCTGCTGCTCGCGACTACGTCTGCGTAGAATAGGCTGAAGGCGTAACACTCAGAAAGACAAGTATACATAAAATATGTATATAAATCATAACTTATGTCTTATTCTGATGTTTAAGCTATTTTATTGTAAAGTTTCATTACAATCCATTCAGCAGTATTTGCGTGAAAGAGTAACAAACATCCATCCATATACAAACTTTCGCCTTTATAATGTTAGTAAGTAAGGATATGTAAGCTATTGATATATAGCAGCAGTGTTATAAAATTTTTACATTTAATCCAGATTATTCCGATTCCAAAAAGATTTATGCGAATGGTTGCTAAGCAATGCCTTTATATTAATGGCCCAGTCCGCCCATGGACGCCTTCGCAGTGTAGGTTGCCAATGATATCGGATCCACCGGCTCTCGTTAGAAAAGCTATAATTGACCTTTAACATTGAGAATTATCTAAATGAAAGCCCACCGTTCAACATTTATATAAAGACTGAAATAAGGATAAGTCGTTGAAGGAGTACTTGACTCTGTTACTTATATTCGCAACCGCTTGATATGGAATAAATTTGAATATTGATATAATGAATTATAGGTAATATTTAGAAATATTCTCATTGCATAAGAAACAAGGTGAAATACCTTGTGGTTTCACTACATAGTTTAAATTCCCGCTGTCTGTCTGTCCCTATATATGCCAGATGCTAGTCCCTAGATCTTTAAAACTACGCCACGGATTTGCTGTTTTTTCTTTAATAGATAGAGTGATTCAAGAGGAAAGTTTACATGTATAATTCATGCATAATATAGTAGAGAAACATTGATAATTTTAAAGGTTTCTAATGCGATGTCGAAAACAAACATTTAGCATAGCACCTGTGCGGAGCCGGGACGGGTCGCTACTTAAATCATATAAGTCTTCTATTTGTCTAATTCATATCTTGCCTCGAAATTGTGCCAATCGATTGGTTGTAATGCCGATTTACAATTACGCATCCGTTTTGACATTTCCAAATGGTTATCCAACATTTACTTTTGCATTGTTCCAGTAGGCGTTGTCGGCGGCGGTATGGCCGAGCCCGCCGGCGGCGAGAGGCGGCATGTCCCACTATATGGGAGGCTGGTGGCCGAGGAGCAGTTGGCGTCGATGAGTGCGCCTTCCGACATTCAGGTGAGCGCTAGAGCGCGCAACACCCGAGCTTTCTGCCGCTACCGTTACCCCCCCCAGGTAAATGACGCACGAGGCGGTTCGCAAACGCCGCGCGCCGCACCGGACCGTGCACGGGCCGTGGACCAAATACCAATATATGTACACGCACGTCACACTGCCGACGGGCATACGCGTATATCGTTCATTCACAACGATTTTCATATCTCAATCAATCCGCCAGTTGCACAACACGGTCTGGTACGGTAAGCGGGGAGACTCCTCCGGTAAAAACAATTTCACCAGACTAATATATTATGTATCGTTTACATAGTACGCCATATGATGCAGATATAACGATCCGTATATAGTACTTTGAAATGACCTTTGAAAACGTTCCGCGGGTGAATTAAATTGAATCGCAAACCGCGACTGTCTGAGGGACGTCTGAGGACAATAACCTGCGGAGAAACTCGCTTTGGAAATGTTGACTAATTGAGAGACAAGTAGCGAGGGGGTATGGCTAAACTTTTGCAAGATAATTAAATTAAACGTATTTCGTGCATTTCACGGTTTTTGGGTGGAGAAACTTGATTTTATAACGATCTCAACCCTTCGAACTTAAAACGTTAGCTCCTCTCGAGATTAAGAGCATCATTAGTATTTCGTCGTCTCGCTCAAAATTATTGAATTAGTTTCCAAAGTGGCACTAATTGCTTAGAACATCTCCCCATATATTAACAGACATGTGCGATGTGTTCACTATTCGGTGCAAACATCCAGCGATCTGTTAATAGCAGTCTTGATCCGGTTAATTAATAAATGACCTCGCTTGGTATTTCCCGCGCTTAGTTTTATGTTCATATATATGTAAATATATATACGTTCGTGTCTCTGTTTCTATGAGAACACGCGTCTGCTTCAGTTAAACGGAATGTAATAGGTTTTCGTGATTAAAATATTCCGGGCGGTGTCGAATGTCGACGCCTTAGTAATGCTGCTATGAGATTTTTTTTATGTGTAACAATTGTTCATTATTTATCCCCATGCTCAACAGGTGTTTATTTCAAAACCGTCTCGTGTGTTCTCGCTTTTGAACGCCCACTGTTTGTCTTATATTAGTGTCTGTATAGTTACAGATGACTTTGGCATTACCTTTTTTTTAACGTTTTCGCTTTTCACACATTTCGTAGATTCCTCTAGTAAGTTTTATTTATCTATGCTATATGTCATGCGTTCTACATTATTCTATGGCTTTTATGAAGTTGCTCTAGTCATTTAGTTCCAACCATAAGTATTTTATCGTTCCCATTCGCACAGCACACGTTTTCAATTATCATCACATACAATCACCATCTTAGTGCATCCCATTTCGTTTTGCTTGCGTAGTTGTTGCGCTTTGGACGTTCCCGCTTAGACCTAACGAGCGTTTCTATTGTTTAGGCTATGCAAGCGCGGATACCGCATCACTTTCGGGATCCGTCGACAGCGCCGCTAAGGAAGCTTAGCGTGGACCTTATCAAGACGTACAAACACATCAATGAGGTAAGTGTTATATATAAAGTTTTGACTCGAATGTTTATCACACATTCGACGTATGTTCGTTCAGTGCATTTCTCTATATTAAGGGAAGGAACTAATTCTCAGAAATGAGTTATTTCGCCGTTAATATTAGGATGTTGAGGATGATGATGTTGATGATTAGGAAGAGCCGTGATAGCTCGGTGTCCGGGCGCTCGCCTTTAATTCGATATACTCGAGCAACCTGAGTTCGATCCCCAGTACTGGCACCAATGAAGTTTTTAACTTTGAGTGCTGAATTATCACGTGCTCCGCGGTGAAGGAAAACATCGTAAGGAAACCTGCTTATTTTCGAAATAATAACAAAAAAATATATATTTCGAAGATATGTGAAGTCCGCCAATCCGCAGTGGGGCCGCGTGGTGGACTACGCCCTGATACCCTCTGTATAGAGGAGGCTTTTGCCCAGCAGTGGGACATGTATAGGCTGTTACTTTTTACTTTTATAAGAATGTTAAGGAATACGTGAGATTTTACAAACAATTTAATATATTTAATAATTATAATTATATATATAATTGTTATAAGTAAATTAGTAACTATAACTATAATTTATTACATACATTATTAAAATTGCATGTTGTGCTCGGTTGTTATTGAAATGCAAGTTTAGTAATATATATTAGTCTGTAATAATTTAGTCATGTTAGAATTTGTATTTTGTAACCGTGCAAAATAAATAAATATATATATATATTTTTTGGAATGCAGATGTTTTTTGGTCACAATTGAGATATTACTTAACAAAATTGTTTCGCGTGTTGAATTTTAGTTTGTCAATATATTATTGGATCATAAAGGGAAGAAAGTTATTAAAAAAAACATGATTCATTTATTCACCAAGTCATTTACTGATTAATAAATTGTCTTAATTAAAAAAGGAAAAATGAAAGGGCAAGTTACTACAGTATTTAAGCCTTACGTCCCACCTTTTTCGCCGTGAGCTTTCCGACTACTAGGAGGCGGCCGGCGTGGGAGCGAAATTTATGGCAGCGTTTATAAAAAAAACTCAATGAACCAGTTAAACGCTCAATGAAATAGTGACCGGGTTACCGCGGCGTCGATTCTAAAATTAAGTATGCTCGCTAAAGCCAGAAATTATTAGGCCGAATATCTCTACCTGTCCGTACCCTGTAACGGCTATGGTTTTCAATCGTTTGTGTAGTCTATGTCAAATCTTCGATCAAATGACATTAATCAGAATTCATTAGAGCAATAATATTTAATTTATGTTTTTATTGTTATATCAATAGGGTTGACAAGTTATAATCAGCTTGGCAATAGTCCGCTTTTGTACAGTTTCCTTGAATAATTTAAAATTATTTAGTTTAGAAATCAAAACTGAACTTGACATATTTCCAATGCTGCGCAAATAGGAATCTAATCTTCGCAATTAATCCGGCTTCCCCGTTAACAACAACGGCACGTGTTAGCCCACGACGACCTTTAAAATGTTGTGGGCGTACTTCTTCCTGCAACGACGCCCCGTGTGTCGAAGACCGATTGCGTACCACGATTGCGTGTTACGATTTCAGGATGCCCATTCGACATTCGAGCGTAAGCGTGGAACGGACCATTCGAGCTTTCTTCGAATACGTGTGTTAAGTTCCAATCGTACCGTTTTTTTTTTTCTTCATTTTTTTTAGTTTTAAAACATAATTTGTATTAATGAAAAATATCTAATGTAATAATAATAATAATGTAATAATGTAGTTATCTAACGCTGATATTTCTTGTTCAGGAAATTCCTTTATATACGTGTATATGGTGGTTTAATTATTGGTAACAATCCCGCCATACGTAATTAATATTGGCAATAGTATTGGAACTATAAAATTTATAAAATTTATTTAAAGAAAATCTTATAAAGCATACATTTCAAAGTAGAATATATATTATAGCATTAATGCCTTGTTAAAACGTCCTGACATGACAAATGCACGAAAGCCCCGGATGACTTCAAAGACGTTACCGTTTCAGAACAAAAGTCGGGGCAATTAATCTTAATGTCCACGGGACACGTGGCGTCTTCCCCCCCAAAAGATCCTCATTTATTTTTGAACGTTTATTAATAGAATGTTCTATTTGCATTCGGGGCTGGTCGTTGTCCTATATGGTGCTGTGTTTACGTGGCGTCTTGCCAGTTTCGTAGCGTTTAAATTGTTTACTTATAAGCAATACAAAAATAGATTTCTTTATAATTAATATATAGGTATATACTAATAAAATATTTTTTTCTTCTGCATTATTACATTAATCAAATCATTCTCTATTACCTTCCCGACAAAAATAAAATTTACAAAATAAATCTTAAAGAAATTAAAATGGTGAAAAACGGATTATCTACAAATTTATATTTATTCATTCATATAATTATTTTTACTTTATATGATGTTCACGTATTGAAGGATTATTATTAAATTTCAAGGCCTGCGGTCATAACAGGAAGTTTCCCCTGTAATCTAGAGTTTAATAAACGCTACCAGAAACTTTACAGGATTATTTGCTATTTTAACAAATATTTTACACAAAGGGACCGCACGTAAATAATTTATTATGAACGTTTTATCTACAGTTTACAACTGCCTTTGTGTTAAATCAATGTGCGCATATTTATATTTAATCTATTTGCATAGGAATAAATAGGAATAAATTTTAATAACTTAATTTGATTCTGAATTTAATTATATAATTTTTCATCTTTATTTAACTCGATGAAACTAGTTAAGGAAAACTCGCATACAAGACGACTATACTGTGAACGAAACATACCCTCAAATGCCTAAATAAACATAGATCATTTCGACACGACACGTATCATACAATTGATTGTCGTAAATACAAAATGAATTTAAACTGTTCAACTGTTAGTATTTATCGCAATACCGTACCCAACAAGGCATTCGAGTCGGCGGTGTATTAATACCGCTCTGCGGTCTCGTCCGCCGCGCGTTCGGTTTCAAACGGCCCCTAATTGCGTCACACGGCCCGCATTCCGCTGACGTCCGACACGGGCGCCGAATGGATTTCGAAATGCGAAACGATCGTCGGCGGCACCGTCGTACCCTCCGAGGATGTCTTACGTCGTCCGAGAGTCGGCTGATCTGATTGTTTTTTACGTGTGAAGGTGACAAGAACTCTGGCGGTTCAGTGAATACCGTCGCCTATGGACATCTGCTACATCCGAGGGTTGCAGATGCGTTGACAACCTTTTGAAAATTGGCCTCCGGTCATCTCGCTCGCCAGGCGGAGCGCGAAAATATTTGTCACGCTTTCACTTTACACCGGTCTTCTGTGAGGTTAAGTTATAAACGCCGCCCGTGGACATTTGCAACATCCGTAGAGTCGCAGATGCGTTGCCATATTTAATAAAATTGGGCCCCTGCAACCTCACTCGCCAGACGCAACTCAGAAGTATAACAAATCCACATCACGCCGGTGTTCTGCGAAGTTGAGGCACTTGCCCATTCGTGCAACAGCGAACTGTAGCGTGGCCCTACCAGTAGCTGTCGCAGTGGTAAGGCGTGATGCAACTCGCCGCACGAAACTGGACGCGCTAGGCGACAATGACTAAGCTCGAGTGCTCGTGTTTCGCAATACCGGAGCGCCCGATGCCATGCGATGCCAACGGATTCGAGTCAAGGAGACGAAGATCAATATTTATAGCCGGCTCTGTACTAGTCCGTTGCGTACTCTTTTTATCGCCATCGTATGGAGTTTTATATCTCGTGATTTACGATCTCATTATTGTTTCATTGCGCTCTGCGGTACCTATGCTATACATGCGGTATACATGCACACTTTTGGCATAACTAGACTGTGTCTTGTCTTATGCTCCCAGAAGATACGAATAAATCCATTGTATAACTCCTTCTGGCTGGTTACAATTATCCTCGGATAATGTTAGTTTCGTTTATGTTAGACGGTTATTCGAATCATTGTGTTTTTATTGGTAGAATTATTCTGTTACCGAAGGCACGGGCGGTCAACATCAACGCCAATTTCAAGATATGATAAATAAATTGAATAAATTAGTTTAAGTTAGTTTAAATTGTAAACTCCTATAGCATATATGTAATGCAGCTTTTTTTTACATGTTAATGTTAAGCGTGTCTATGGACTGCTCCCCAAAGTCAATTTTATACCAAACACCGAAACCGTAAATAAATAGTAATTAAAATTGAACAAGTCCATCGTGCATTTTTAAGAGATAAGCAGATATAGTCAGGCTAGATCCAGAGGATTTCTTGTACTTCTCAGTTGTAATAAAGCATCTTGCATGTATTTTATAGATGAATGGTTGAAGTGGCTCAAATATGATAGGACCATGTAGGAGCCTCGGCCGTTGCACGAATGGGCTGGCTCGTCCGGGTACCGGGTATCACGATTTTACAAAAGTATAATACTTTCGCGTTTCGTCTGGTGAGTGAGGTAGCCGGAGCCCAATTTTCAAAAAGGTTGTCAACGCATCTGCAAACTCAAATGCATGCTCGCTTGACAACTTTTCACATAAAAAAATGGGCTGATAAATATATACAATATATTTTTATAAATTCGACAACCCACGACACGTGACTTCGGGTCGCGTACACAAATTGCGTGCGGTCTCGGTGCAATTGTCTCACTTCGCAGCCCGCTTTCGCCGTTGTTATTGCCGGCGGAGCGAGTCGGGCGCACATCTGATCAGCTGTTCGCCCGATTAATTGCGATATCTCGCATTGAGCGGCGGCGATTAGAGAATAGAAATCACCGCTGTCTCCGGTCCCGTGTGCGCTTCTGATTGTTTCAACGTGTCTATACTTACTCTATAGTCTATACTATCCATACGATATTTCTCTTCTTCTTTTACCGGACCGCCATAACTACTGTGATCATTCTTCATCAAATTAAAAGCAAGGAGAAGTCGAATAAATTAAATGATTTCATAAAAAAAACCTCCTTTAAATATTTCTTATAAAGAATATATAATCATGCTATCTATCGATAATTTGGTTAAATGAAAGATGCCTAAGTATACTGTTTTTCAAAATATAGTTTCTTGATAGGAAGGTGTAGTAGTTGATTATGCATGTAATTTATTGAGGTTGCGTGTAATTTGGCTGAGATACGATGATGATTGTT